GTGTCTTTCTCCAGCGTTTTCCACCTTTTCAGACAGTGTCAATCACTGAACCCGAAGCTTGATGATTTCTAGACTAGCTGGCCAGCAGGTGTGATGGCGTGACAAGCACTCACCAGACCTGCCTTTTATATGAGTGCTGTGGATCCATAATCAGGTCCTCGTGCTTAGGAGACAAGCATGTTACTGACTGTGCCAACTCCCCAGCCCCTAATTTCCTTTTTTTTTTTTTTTTCTGAAACAGTGTCTCACTGTGTAGTCAAAGCTGGCCTGAAACTCACTATGGAGCTTAGGTTAGTCTTGAACTCAAAGCAAGCCTTCTGTCGCAGCCTCCAGAGTGGAAGGGCTGGGACTGTAGGTATGTGTCACAATGCTGGGGTATGTTCTTTTCTTAAGGTGGCTGCTGGAACACTTAAATTCCCCACACGCCCTCCCCGACATGCTTCCTGGCCAGGACTGCATGGATCTTCACAGGAGAGATGGGCATGGCTTACTGAGACCTCCCTCATGTCTGCCTCTTCTATATCCACACAGCTGAAACCCGTGTCTGTGCACCAAATACCATGACCGAGAAAATGTTCGGTAACACAAACGTGTGCTGTTTGAGGGATTCAGAAGCTGGGGTTCCAGCTGTTTTGTGCCTGGGTGTAAGAATGGATGGTTGGCAGCACCTGCCCTTCTCCAGCCACCCACGGGCAAGTCTAATCTAGCTTAAGGACCAGGCTCTTGTCTGCATGTGCACCTCACCAGCAACTCCTTCCCTTCTCCAGGGTGGCACTCAGACAGGCCCTGGAGTAACTTTTCAAGCATGCCTAGGTGGGCATCTCAAGAAACGCCAGATGTAAGACACTTTGCCTACATCATCTGAGCACAGTGCAATAGTGGACTTAGGTAGACTGGTAACCCTGGGGAAAAAATAAACCCACGACTTGTCAGAGGCAAACGACTTGACCTTCACTGAACTTGAGACTTCCCCATGTGAAGGACGCGGGACCGAAATAGACTGGCTTATTTTAACTTCAAAGAGCTTATTGTCTAGGCCAAAGTGAACTGGGCCACCGAGGAGCCTGGGGACAGTGAGTTCCCCATGGCTGCAGAAGCCGAGTGAGCCCAAGGTGGCTCTGCACACCCTGGTGCAGCCTGTGCCTAGAGTTCTGCTCTTTCCAGCACCTGGTTTTCTATCCCAAGAGTGGGTGCGGGGGCAGCCTGAGTCTCTCACCTATAAGGACATTTGTCTGGGCAGTTCGGACCCATCCTCTACCCACAAGTTCTGGAAATAACAGGAGCCCTCACTCTCCTAAGGAGATGATGAACTTCTGCACTGTCCAAGGAAAAGCCGTCTCACTCTGGGCTTTGTTTTTGTCTTCACCTAACTGTGGGTGAAAACTTTCAAAGTGACCGCACCGGGAAGTGACGTCATGTGCAGTTAATAGCTCTGCCGAGCAAGCATATGCTGAAGTCATTTTTGGATCAATCACTTCAAGATTCTCTTTCTGTGGTGTTTGGGGTGGAACACAGGGCCTAGTACATACTAGGCCAAACGCCTGACCACTGAGCCACATCCCAGCCCTAAGATTCTTTAAACAAAGTTGTGGCCCAGGGAATAAATTATTTGGGGGACCTGTTTTTTTTTTTTTTAAACCTTGAAATCTCAATTTTACATATATGTTTAATATGTAGGTATAGTTAAAGCCACTATAAATGGCTGACAATGATATGTCTTTTGGGATCATCTTCATCACCCTATCTCAAGCTAAATAATCCAAATATATTTTATACCTGAGAACTAAATGTCCTCCGTCTTTACTTTTAACAACATATATGTCTCAAAAAAGAGAACTCCAATTGCCATTCCAGTAGCACCTGTGTGGACACAGAAGTACTGTGTTGTGTGTTCTGGGACCTCACTCCACTATCCTGTGGGCACACTCATTTTCATGTATGTTTTTAATATGCAGAGGCCACATTCAGAATTTTTCTCAATGCCATTACTATTTATTTACTTGTTTGTTTCTTTGTTTATTTTCTTGTTTATTTGTAAGATGGGCTTTTACTATGCTGCCTTGGCTACTCTCAAATTTCTGGGGCCCAAATAATTCATCTGATTCGACCTGTGAAATCACTGAATAGGCAGGAGCCAGCATACCTGGCTTCATTCAGATGGCTCTCTTAGTGGCCCCCACGATCCTCTAGTTGAACCTTAGTGTGCATGTGTGTGCGTGTGCATGTGCATGTGCGTGCGTGCATGCGTGTGTGCGTGCGTGCGTGCGTGCGTGTGTGTGTGTGTGTGTGTGTGTGTGTGTGTGTGTGTGTGTTTTCTATCTGAACACTTTAGAAGATTCTGGAAGCTGGGTAGTTGGGTGTGACTCAGGTGAGTCACTCTGCCTCAGCCAGCAAGCACACTTGTGTTCTCGGAGTCAGTGGGCAAGGGCATCACGGCTGAAGCATGGGGTACCTGGCCAAGGCTGACGCTCACTACATTTGTGATTCAAAAAGTCATCGATACGCCCACATAGGAAATGCTTGCGCATGCAAACTAATTTAACTGAAATTCATATATAGGTCCTCAACAAAAGCCATACCTCATCATCATGACACAGGCTTAAGATGAGGCAGCCAGTCCTCATGGACCACAATTAGGCTCTCAGTTTTCATAATTAGGTCTTAAATCTCTGCATAAGAAATTTAGGTCCATGTTTGATGTGTAGCTTATAAACTGTGGTGAGCTGTTGTCCCATTTGAAAGACTTTAATCACATTCTAACACCAGACTTCACTTAAGATCTAACTGGGAACACATTTGGAAACTGAGGCACTTGCTTGCTGAGGCAACCGTGTGGTGCTGGTACCAATCCTTGGCCTCAAGCCTTGACTTCATGGTCAGTTTTAGCAGCTTTGTGACAAACCGTGTCTCCTAAGGGCAAGGAAGCGCCAGTGATCTGCAGAGCAGGGGTCATTAAGCCACGTACACTTATTCCCAAGACACTCAAGTGTGGCATGAGTGAGGCAGACACGGTACCTTCTTCTTCAGGGACTGCTCTACCTCCTGGATGTGCAGGCTGCTGCTGGCTTTGCCATATTCCTGCTTCCGAATCAGTCTGTTCTTCCAGTCCTCCTCGCCGCTCTTCTTCAACAGTGCCAGCCTGGAAGGAAGATACACCGACGGAGAATTCAGCACCACACTCTCAGAACCTACAAGAACCTCTTTTCCAAGACGATTCTAAAGATGTTTTAGTTGGTTGGAAAGAAAAGCTGAAAACAGACTTGTCCGATAAAAGATGCTCCATCATCCCAGTAAGGAAACATACAGCTCTACTTTCCTCTTGCCCTGGTGCTGAGAGCTGGGGAAGAGAGGAAAAGAACTCTCCCCAGTGAACTGTCTTCTAGTGACCCCTTCTGGCCACTGGGTGAACTAACACTTAATGATGAACTCTGCAGTTCTTTGCAGTGAATAAACCCTGCTGAAAAGGGGCTTAAAAACCTAAAGAACAGGAGTGTGTGACAGCAGAGGTTATTCTCAACAAAATAAATTATACTCATGTCTGGAAACTTCATAATGAAACCCTGCTTGGTACAATAAATATACACTAATTAAAAACAGAAAGATACTCGACATCTTGGTATCATACTAAAGGTGAACTATGATGTCCTCACTCTCTTCTCAGCCCTGGTCTTCCCTCCCCATGGATTAAGCCTGTCTTTACCGTGTATCCTTACACAAAAACGACCTTCTAAAAACCCATTTAAGAAGTTATTCGTTCAACTTTCTCCAAGGGAAAAAAATACCTCCCTCCCCCCAAATCTCATTAATGGAGACTTGTACCAGCCCATTTAGCTCAGGCACTGCAAGACTTTATCTAAAGCTGCTCTCACATTTGGCTCTCTCTGAAAAGCCATTTTCCAGAACAAGAGCCTATATGAGACAGCTATGCTATCACGAAGAAAATATCTCAGCCATTTCAGTTCAACACAGTGGGGCAGACAAAAAGACAAACAGGGCCTCTGAGGCTGCCTGAGGCTGGTGTTCAAACTACTTAAGGATTGGGGGGAAACCAGGAAATGAGGTGATGAGACCCCCCTTTCCCTTGTGCGTTCTGACAGGATATGCCTTTGACCACAACACCTGACCCACAACACTGGCTGCCAGGCAGCCAATCAGCTGCAGTCTGGGTTTGGACATTGTTGTGGCTTGGATATGAAATGCCCCTACAGGCTCCAGTGTTTGAACATCTGGTCCTCAGCTGGTAGCGCTCTTTGAGGAGTTTGAGGAGGCTGTGGGATATTTAGGGTATGGGCTTAGCCGTAGGGGTGGGGCTTGAGTTTATAGCCTGACCCCAGTACTGGCTTAAGCCCTCTGCTTCTTCTAAAACATGAGCAAGCTATGCCACAAGCTCTTGCTGCCATAGATGGTGGCTCCATGTCCACCATGTCTTCCCCACCACGGTGAACTCTGACCCCTGCTCTGCCCAGTTGCTACTCGTCAGGTATTCGGTCCCACCTGTGAGAACAGTGGTTAGTATAGCCCTTTTCATTTACACGGAGGCACATCACTCTCCCTGCCCTGTTTGTCAGGCATGAACTGAACATGGGGCTCTCCAAGGCCCCAAGTGAGAAATTTCCTGATCCTATTCAGTATCTGTACTGGAGGTAGGATGCCTTATACTCCATGATAAAAGCTTATTCACTCATTTGCTGGTGGTTCTTGGATACAATCCAGGGCCTCAAACATGCTAGGCAAGTGCTCTGCTGCTGAACTGCATATGATAAAGGAGCTTTTGCTAAGCAAATAAGGAACCAAATTCTATATTAAACAAGAATCCATTCTACTTACAAATGTATGCATAACCATCTTTTATATTTTCCATCCTTCTATCACATAATGTAAATGGGCTCTGAACAACTTCCTAAAGGACACAGAACTTTGAACTTTGGGTCCAGCCTCTCCTCAACCTCTTCCTCCTTTTCTAATCTCTCTGTCTTATGTGGCAGCAGATAAGACCACAAAAAAGGACCATTCTATAAACTCACATGAGCTATCTTCAACCCAATGCAGGCTCACAAAGCTTAAGACACTCTTTAGCCTTAACTTGTATAGTTCTCCACCACTAACATGGCTATTCCATGTATTAGAACACAAAATCTAAATTCCTTCATATGTTTTAATTTCAGTTCATATTAAATAATTATTATTTATCCTGTCCCAATTACTTTGAATGTGCCCATTTTATTGCAATAAGAAAAAGAATTTCAAAAAGTCAAATTATTAAAAAGAAATAATCACGACTGTACGAGCCAAAAGCATCAGGAAGTAAGGCTTCCAGCTAGTGGACACGCCAGGCCTTCGCTCCCCCAAAGAGGGATACATCTGAGCCCTCATCTGGAGGGGCATCCCACTGTCACTCACCCTGCAAACTGCTCTCAGAACCAGCTCCTCTCTCGCTCTCCTTTGGACTCAGAGCAGGCATTCTTGGCCTTCACCTCAATCAGACTGGATCTAAATGACTTATAGAGTGCAAACCCTTGACCTCAGATACAGAGACTGTTAAAGATGATGAGGCCAGCAAACAGCTTCTCAACAGAAGGACAGTTCCCCTGGGGCTGCTCTGAGGGACAGGAGGCTAGTTCAGAAAAAGCAAACTGGAGTCTCCAATCACTCGGCTCTCTTCCTCATGCCCCCCTGCAGTGCACAGACATCTTCAAGAAACTGCATTTTGTTCTCATCACACAGAGTAGGAATCCAGGTGCAGACAAGTCAAGGTTCCTCTGAGCCAGGGCCTCCTGCGTGTTGGTGGGAGAGGAGGTGTGATTCCAAACCCTGCCTCTCCAAGTCCCAGTTATTTCCTCCCATGAGAAGTGGAGCTGAGCAGACACACTGTGCCTATCTCTGTCAGGAAGAGCAGACCTTTTCCAGTTTCCCTATGATGTTCTCTCGGTCCTTTGCAGGATGGCTTCAGAGAATCATTCCCTTCTAAAGCCCTGAAAACTTGCTTCTCAAAATGCTGGCTCCTTTAACTTCCAAAGACTCCAGAGTAACCAAAATAATATGGGAGAAACTGCTTCAGTTGGGCCCATGTGGTACTTGGCCCAGCCCTTACTTCCACAATACAAATGATGAATAACTTCATAATAACACACAGTGAATCTGAGTGCATTATCCTGTCCCTTCTGATTTCCTATTTGGTGTTCAACAAGCTGTGGAGGGTGGCGGATCTTTCTAGTCTTGTTCTCCACTCTGGCAGTCTCGTAGCCCTTCATCACCATAGCAGAGGGCTAAGGTCTGGGTCGACACATGACATAAACCCCCCTGTGCAATGCCAACGATTGTCAGCGCTTTTAACATCTGCCAAGTCTGAGGGCTATTTGTGGGCTGTGATGTGGAGAGCTGGGGCATCTGCTTAGTCTGAGGCTCCATACCCTGTGAGTGGCATAGTATTAGCCTGCTAACACACTGGCCTGGCCCAGGGCCAATGGGACATGTGCTTACCAGGCCGCTGTGGGAGTGTCTATGGCTCCTGCCACAGCCCATGCTCTTCAGCAGGAATTCTGGCTTGAGAGGCTGCTGGATGAGGACAAGTTTTTCCAGGCTCGTAACAGGGATGGGTCAAGCAAGGGGCAGGCAGACCACGTGCCCCTAATGTCAACTAAGGTATTTGTATTTCCTCTTTAGACATTTCCTTTATTTCAGAGAAAGGGAGGCACCCATGGACTTAAGCTGAACTGAGCAGCACTGATGAGTAATTGCATTAGATCCTGGTCTTAGCTAATGAGAAACCTGGAAGAATTAACTATTAATAATAAGCTTTTTGTCTGCATTTGGTTTTTTATCTGGTGCTGAAGACTGAACCCAGGACCTTGTAAATCCAAGAGCTCCGCACCGTGCCCTGGCTCCACCCCATTATGTTTTCTTTTTCCTTTCTTCATTCCTTTCTCTTTCTTTTCTTTTGACGTTGTGTAGTATGTGTGAGTTAGCCTGGGGTCTGCCAACCTGGTTTCACCCGTGAGCACTGGGGGCGCAGATGTGTGCCCCTGCGCACAGCTTCCACATTCATGACAGGGATTCAAACTCAGGTCCTTAGACTTGAGCAATAGGCACTTTACCTACTGAACCACTTGCTTTTTGTTTATTGAATGTCTCGGTGCTGAAGACTGCAGCTGGAATCTTGTAAATGCTGAGCACGCACTCTACACTGAGCCAGACTTCCAGCCCTTCTTATCTTGTAAGTGGAAGGCCGCCACAGTTTGAGGACGGTATGCCTCATCTGTTACTATGGTAGTATCCTGAGCAGACCTTCAGGGGGCGAAGAGATACTTAAAGGAGATTAACGCCTTTTTCCTGGGAGTGTTTATGCTCTGGACTTCGGATCAGTTATAAGTGAGGTGCCTGCAAAGCACGACCACCTCGGTTTTGTGGTCCTCTGCATAGGTCTTTCCCCTCTGGAAAGCTTAGATACGAAGTGTCCTTCAAAAGGCCCACTAGCGGGAGTCAATCCTTGAGAGTTGGTGGGAGGGACCACTAGGGGTCAGCCTCCCTCAGTGGATGAATGACTCCCCGGAGGGACTCAGGATTTAATAGCATTTTGGGGAGGTGGTAGAAATTTCTAGAGGTAGGTGGGTCCTCTAGTGGGAGAAAGTAGTCCCTGGCACTGTTCCGGGGTAGGGGCACTGTTTTGTTTCTAGCCCTTTCCTGCTGGCTTTCTGCATCCTGGGTGCCCAGGAGCATCAGGGCTAGCCAACAAGGAACTGAAGTCTTTGAGACAGCCGACATAGTTTCTTCTCCTTCAAACCAGGCTTCCCAGGTAGTTGTCACAGACAGGAAAGGTTTGACTGACTCAGCCTGACCTTCCCCTTGCTCTAAGGTGTCACAAGGTCCTCTACCTCGTGTGGATGCCAATGGTAGCCTTTGATTTTCCAGAACTGCGAGCCAAAGTCTATTCTTTTGTTTCTCAAATTACTCAGCCCCAGATATTCCTTGCAGCATCAGGACTGAGAGGCTGAGTGAGGGACAGACAAGTAAATAGAGGCAGGATCTCTCTCTGTAGTTACAGCAATCCGATGGATCACCGGTAGCTGAACTCTTCCAGCTCAAAGTCAGAACCCAGAGTTTGTTGGGGAGACATGGACACAGGCTGTGTGGGGTGCAGAGGAGCAATTGAGGGGCATGTACACAGGGTCCTGGTTAACCCCTAAGGCAGATCTCTCTTTGTCTCTGTCTCTCTCTGCTCCCTTGCCCCCTTGATTTGGGGCAGATTCTCCAATATTTACAGGAGCTGACTGACTCAGTCTGCATAGGCCTCCCGTGGTGACAGGGTGGATCTGCTCGCCTTATGGTCATCTCCTCCCCAGAGTGAAAAAGCACAAATGCGGTGGATTCGGTGATGACGGAAACACGATTTCCAAAAGCTTGGCGGATTTTGCAAGTCTTCTTCACCTCTAATTCACCTCCAAATTATAGAAGTATTTGGTTTGTAGTGCTTTTTCAAAAGGTTCCCAAAAGGGGGAGGTTTGATCTCAAATCATGTAGACAGCGATACAGGGGTGGCTTATTAATCCACCAGAGGAAGCATCCTAGGCTTCTTCGTTCTGGTTCTCGTTCACACCGGACATTCTAGACACTGCAGGTGCTCTTCTCATTGGTGTAACAAAAATACTGACAGAAGCAACCTAGAGGAGGCTTGCTTTAGGCTGAGGGCGTGAGGCAGTAACAAGGCAGCGTGGTGGGCAAGGTGGGGCAGAGTTCATGGAAGTGAGAGTGGCCGGGGCCCCTCACATCTCAGCAGACCAGGCCAGAGACGGGACTGCATCCCCCAGACTGCATCCACAGCCGGGCTGCAGCCCCCAAGGGCCCTTGACTGATGAATGGCTCACCTCCCTCAGCCATGCCTCTTGTCCTAACTGTTTGACCACTCCCCCTGGTCACCAGCTGGGCACTTCAGATTCAAACCCTAACATTTCACGTCAAAAAGACGAAGGACATAAAGGGACTTGGGCACGCATTTCCTTAAATATCCAACGTGTTCTTCAGAACATGAGCACGGGAC